TGGGGAACACCGGGGCGCAAACCCGCTTGTGGGACACAGAAACGTGGCCGAAGGAGACCCCAAAACCCCTAAAATCCACCCAAAAACGCCATTAAAGGAAGCGGGAGCGGCCCATCGGTGTCATGAGGTGTGTGCGTTCTCTGCCCAGCAAGGTTCTGAGTGGTGGGAGCTATGGGGGGGGCACACACAGGGTCATGCACACCAACAACCCCCATGTGTCAGTGTGTGCCATGAGCCCATCAGTGTGATGAAGCGCGCCCGTTCTCAGCCTATTGATGCACCAAGTGATGGGGAACACTGGGATCCAAACCCACTTGTGTGTGTGTGTGTGTGTTGGGGGGCTGCTCCCCATAGAAGGATACTTGGTGCCCACGACCACCCTGACCAGCCCCGCTCCATCGGGATCCATCACCCGGCTCATCTGCGCCGGCAGCTCCTCGAAGGACGCGCGGTCGGTGAAGGAGAACAGGAAGAGGACGGCGTCTGCCTCCTCCTTACAGGCCTGGCCATGGGGACGGCACCATCATCGGGGGTGGGGGAGTGACCCCCAAATGTTGTGTTCCCCCCCCAACCCCAACCCCAAAGCCTCACGGGCAGGAGATGCTCAAACTTCCTCATGGCTCCATCCCCGCAATCCCAGAACCGGAGCTGGAACAGGACGGGGCGGCCGCTGGCGCGCGCCTTGGCAGGCCAATACACGGTGGTCACCTCAATGCCTGCCGATGGGGACACACAGAGGGGGCCGTCACCCCCCCATGGGACACTGGGGGTGCTGTTGGGGTGTCCCGTGTGTGTGTGTCCCCCCCAGACACTCACCGAGGGTCTCGTGGTGGACGGGGGGCACAGGGGTCCCCGCCAGCCAGGCCACCAGCGCGCTCTTGCCAACGCCGCTCTTGCCGTGCAGGAAGAGCTTGTAGGGGACCAAGGGGACGGCGAGGCCGGGGGGCAGCACCGGGTGCTCCAGCAGCCCTATGGGGGGTGTCGGGGGTGGGTTTTTGGGGGCGCTGACCCCGCGTTCAGGGCGGGCACAGCGGGTACGGGGCTCACCGAACACCCGGCGCCGGTTCCTGTGCAGGATGGAGCCCAGGTAGGGCCGGGCGGCGGGGGTCAGGAGCCAGCCCGGCTCCAGCACCGGGGTCCTCTGCGATGACATCGGGACCTGGGGGGGGACATCGGAGGGATCCGCTCGCCCCCCCTCCTACCCCCATGGGGTCACTGCACTGCACTAACCCCCCCCCCCGGGTAGTAGCATCCCCCCATGCGGTCCCATAGGGTCTCTGCACCCCTCCATAGGGTCCCAGCATCCTCCTATGGGTCCCTGCTCATCCCCCCCCAGGTTTCTGACTCCCCCCCATTGGGTCCCAGCACCCCCATAGGGTCCCAGCATCCCCCTATGGGTCCCTGCTCAGCCCCCCCCAGGTTTCTGACTCCCCCCCATTGGGTCCCAGCACCCCCATAGGGTCCCAGCATCCCCCTATGGGTCCCTGCTCAGCCCCCCAGGTTTCTGACGCCTCCCATAGGGTCCCAGCACCTCCCTAGGGGTCCCTGCTCACTCCCCCGGGTTTCTGCCCCCCCCCATTGGGCCCCTGCACACCCCCCCCGGTCTCAGCATCCCCCTATGGGGTCCCTGACCCCCCCCCGAGTCTTGCCCCCCCCCCCCCCCCCAGGGTCCCTGGCTCCCCCACCATGGGGTCCCTGGTCCCTCCCGGCCCCTGCACCCCAAACCCTGCGGCCCCCTCTCTATGTCCCTGCCCCCCCCCGCTTTGCTCTTCCCCTCCCACCCCTCCCCACTTTGGGATCCCCGCACCCCGCACAGGGGGGCGCCCCCCCATGGGGTTCCCGTCCCCCCCCCCCCCCCGCGGTCCCTTTAAGACGCCCCCCCCCCCCAACCCTTACCTGTGGCCTCTTCCGCCTCGGGGTGACGTCAGGACGGAGGGGGGCGGGGCGTCTGCACGCCCCGCCCACTGCCGGCAGCGCATGCGCAGAGGTGTAGGGGGCGCACGTGGAGCAGCGGGGTCCCTGGGGGTGATCCCCATCACCAGCCACCGGCACTGGGATGCTTTGGGGTCCCCTTTCCATCCCCAGCAGGATTTGGGGTCCCCATTGCCCATTCCCAGCCCTATCCTGCCTTGGGGTCCCCCTTTTCCATCCCCATCCAGCAGGATTTGGAGTTCCCAGTTTCCAGCCCTGGCAGGATTTGGGTTCCCCCATTTCCACCCCTATCAGGCTTTGGGGTCCCCATTCTTCAGCCCTGACAAGATCTGGGCTCCCCATCCCTAACTGCTGACACTGGGATGCTGCAGCATTCCCAGTTTCCATCACTCTCTCCCTTTTCCCAACCCCTCCCACCCCTGTGCCCCTTTTTCCCACCTCTTATTCTGACCCCCCCCGTACTCATTGCCCCTTAACACCCCAACCTCCCCCCTGATCCCCCCAACCATGTGGGATTCCCCTCCCCTCCATCCCCCCCATTCCCAAAAGTACCAACCATCCGTTTCTTTCCTTTTTATTTGTTAAACTGCTAAAAATCCACTGGGATGGGGGGCACCCATTCCCTCCCCCCCCAACCCCCCCAATGTACACAAGGGCTTAAATATCACCAAATTCCTACAGTGGGGACAAGGATGTGGGGGGGGGGGACACCGGAGGGGGACACAGCCCCTCGCTCACAGCACCAGCGGCTCATGGAGCGGTTGGGAATGTGCCCAACTTTGGGATGGATTCATGGGTTCGGGTGCAGGACATGCCATGGGGATGGAGGAGGGATGAGCCCGGCGGGGTTGGGGGGATTTGGGGATTGGTTGGGGATGGAAGTGTTGGGAAGATGTCAACCCGGCGCCGTTGTCCATCCCTTGGTGACTATGGGGTGGGATGACAAGAGACATGCAATGGGAATCGATGCCGAAGCATTCCCAAGCTTCGAGTGGAGAAACAAGGATGTCATCCGTCACCTCCGGTGCTCCTGAGGGATTGCGGGGTAGTTTGGATGAACCCAACCTGGGATTGGAGCGGGAGAAGGGGGGGATTGCACGAGGGGTTTATTTACAGAGGTGGGAATGCCGCGGATGAAGCAGATCCCTCCCCATGCTCACGCGGCTGCGATGGGATTTAAGGCTCCGGCCGGCAAAAAGCTCAGTGGGGCTGGAAGTGGGGCTAGAAAAGAATCCAATGGGAACAGGGACCACGTCATGGCGCTGCCGGCTTGGGGAGGGCTCCCTAAGGAGGTTGTTGACCAAAACCTGGCAAAATCCACCCGTTTTTCCCACTCCCCCCCCCCCATTGTCTCGAGGGGAAAGGGATGGAGGGAGGTTGTCCCAGAAGGACGCACAGGTTCAATCCCTTTGGATTTTCAGTTGGTTTAATCTTTGCGGAAGGAGGCACGTGCAAAGATGAGCTGCAGTTACCGCTACCGAGGCTGCTCTCGCCCTCAAATCCACCCAAATCCATCGCTTTGGCTGGAAAAATGACCCCCATTCCCAGGCTAAGAGGTGCTGGTTCAGCCTTGAAGGGGTTTGGGCTGTTGAGGGATAGGAAACCTTTGAGCGCAGAAGGGATTTGGCAGCCAAATGTCTCAGCTTCCTGGGAATAATGGGATTTGTAGGGTAAATGGGGTGGTTTTCACGGATCCGAAGGGATCAGGGCTGATCCCAACGCCTGATCCAGCCCAGGGCATGGAGAGGATCCCAACGCCCGGCTCATGCTTAGCATATTTGGCATTTTGACATGCTAAATCCTGCCCTTTCTTCCTTCTTTATGCTCCAGAGGACAGGAACGAGGGGCGAGAGGCAAAACCTAACAAAGGCATCATGTTTGTGTCAAGCAAAGGCTGGCGCAAGGGAGATTCCTGCCGGGATATTGCTGTTGTTTTCCTTACGGAGCCAAGCAAACAGCCTCCAGCCTGCTGGAATTGGGTGTTCCTACAGAACTGCTTTCACTCACGGCCTAGGAGGAGTTTGGGAGACACACGGAGCCTCCCCGAACCCCTGCATAGAACAAACCCAACCTCCAGAGGCTGGAGGTCCCCAATTCCCTACCGGCTCCCCCCCAAATCCTTGGCTTGGATGGCAGCAGTGGGGGGGTTCTCCCCCCCCCTGTGAAAACTGGGGGCTCCCTGGGAACCGGTGGGGCAGCGCTGGAGGGTTTTGCTTGGATTTTATTGGATTCTTGCTCCCTAATTCACAGTTTGAACACCGGCGGGACAGGGAAAGGGCTCGGGAAGGAGAGGGAAGAGCCGCAGGGAGGGAAGGGAGGAGGCGGTGGTGCAGGATGGGGCCGCATTATCTCTTTGCTCGCACAAAGTACAAGGCATTTGTTTTGGGGTAGTACTTCACGTTCTGCTTCTTGTCCATGAGGCCACCGAAGATGATTAACTCGCCTCTGCCTTGCACCACCGTGTGTAAACTGGTTTCGGGGGGTCCCACCACCGAGCTGCTGTTGAACACTTTCCATTTGACTCGTCCTTGTTCCTTGGTGTCTTTAATGTCCAGGACGTACATCTGCATGGGTTTGCAGTTCATGCTCTGGTACAAAGGCTTCCCAACGTTGAGGGATTGGGGAGGGTGGTGGCCCAGGCGCCGGGCGATGGGAGGTAAGGAATGGCCGTCCCCTTGGGTAGAACCAGGACGTGCTGCTGAGCCCGGCTCGGCGCCCGGGGACCCGGGGGAGGAGGCCAGAGGAGGGCTCAGCGCTGCCGAGGCCGAGGGGCCTTTGGAGGAAAGGGCTTTGACAGCTTCCAGGCTCCTCCGGAGCGCGCTGGGGGACACGGCGCCGGGGAGGGAGCCGGTGACGTGGGGCGGCGTGTGGATGCCGTTGGTGTGCTCCGGGGGGTTCCTCACGCTGGCGCTGACTGTCCTGCCCTCCACAGCATCCATCTGGCACAGCAGGGACCCCGGTTTCTGTTCCCAGCTCATGTCGACGGATCCCAAACGGAGATCCTTCTGCTCCGGCAGCGATCCCCGCCGCGGCGCCAGGGCCAGCCCCACTTTGAGGTCGTATCCTTCGGCTGCGGAAGGGGTGCTGGGTGACACGAGCTGCACGGGGCTGTCCAAGGAGGCGCCGCCGGCCGCCGTGGCACCGGGGGACAAAGTGCCCCCGTTGAGCACGGGGGAGCTGTCCCCTCTGGCTGGGGACAAGCTGCCTTCCCGGGATCCCGAGGGCGTTTGCCGCTGCGCCCTGGGCCGCAGGGTGCCCCAGCGACCATTGACGCAGGGAGCTTCGTCCGTGTTCCTGACGGGAGACTGGGAGCGGTATTCCCGTGTTTCGGGGACCAGGGCGGGCGGCGTGGCGCTGATGGGAGAGGGGCGGGAGTTGAGGCTGGGGCTCAGCGGGGCTCTCCCGCTGGGAGCTTGGCTGAAGACCACCACGCATTGTCCCACCTGGAAGAGGAGAAGGGGAGAGGCCAGGTTAGAATGGGAGGAGGATGCTTTGTGCTGTATTGGGGGGGGGAATAGGGGGATATGGAACTATAGATTCATGGAATGGTTCGGGTTGGAAGGGACCTTAAAGCTCATCCAGCTCCAACCCCTGCCATGGGCAGGGACCCCTTCCACTAGAGCAGCTTGCTCCAAGCTCCTGTGTCCAACCTGGCCTTGAACACTGCCAGGGATGGGGCAGCCACAGCTTCTCTGGGCACCCTGTGCCAGCGCCTCAGCACCCTCACAGGGAAGAGCTTCTGCCTAAGAGCTCATCTCAGTCTCCTTGGCCTGTCCCTAAAGGCTCTGCCAAAGCTCCAGGGGTGGACGTGAGACCCTGGTGTGTCCGTACCCTGCAGGCAGGATGGCACCACAGCTCCGGGGCTCCGTGGTCTTCGTTCTCCACCTTGAGTGGCTGCCACGTCCAGGGGTTGCTGTGCATGTGCAGTAACCAGGCGTCCTTAAACAGCTGTGGAGAGAAGTGGGACAGGTTCAGGAGCCTGGTTTGCTGCTGAGATCAGCCCATGGGAGGCAGGAGCGGTGCTGTGCTGCTGCAGACAGGGGAACGGTGACCCAGATCAGGATCTGACCGCCCAGGAGCGACTACACCCTATGTGGTCGCAGACAAATCCCATCATCTCCATCTTCCATCCCAGTATAAAATCTAATTCTCTCTAATTCTTCTGAGGCTCAATTAAAACCTCAGCGAGCTGCTGGGATAGTGCCTGAGGTGCTTCTTTCTTAATTAAAGTGGCTCTAGCAATAGGCAGACAGCTTCCCTGGAAAATCCATCACATGGGAGCCCAGGATTCATGGAATCACAGAATGGTTTGGGTTGGAAGTGACCTTGAAGCTCTTCTGGTTCCAGGTTTGCAGAATGAAATGCCACCTGGGCGAGGGGCAGGCTCTGTCCGTCCGCCCCCCGCTCCCCACTGCAGCACCTGCGGCTCACTGATACAGTGGGCACCTCCTGCCCATGCTCCCCATGGATACTCACTGCATTGGGACCACCACAGCCACCGAGGATTAGAATGGTTTCACTGTCTATGACGATCTAGAGCGGACAAAGAAGAGAGTTTCAGCGCGGGGAAGATGTGAAACCATCGCCGATGCTTTCGGTGTGGCCTCCAAGCACAGCCAGAGGCAGGTCCTGGTTTCTTGGCTGCACAGATGCTGCTGAATGGTGCCTGCCCCGGGATGAGGAGTGGAGCTGGCACGGGGAGCAGGTTCTGCTGGGCCTGAGGCAGAGCAGGACGCAGCGTTCACCCCGCTGCCTTGTCCCAAATGGCTCACAAACCAGTTCCTCTTAGGGAGGAGAGCAATTACCCGTCCTGAGGCTGAGCCAATGCACAGGGGCCCGAACACCCCTCTTCAGATAAGGGTCGATGGGCTGCCTGGGAGGGCTTGTGCTTGTAGCAAGGTTTGTTAGGTGCTGGTGGTGGGTGAGAGGCCCTTCACCTTCTTTTCCAGTGGAGGAAAGACATGTTTGGGCACGACCCATCCAATCTCCTCTGGGTCCCTG